AAAAAAATAGGGGGTTCCATTTGAAATAAGCAACTTTTTGAGGTTTAAAAACATGCAAGTTTACAGGCTAATTGCGCGGTTTAGAAGTATTTCCTTATAATTTAAAACATATGTACGCGTAGATCATGATGTTCTGTTAGAATCGCTGAAAACTGTTTTCCAAAATTCGCAGCGGGTAGTGTACAGCATCGATTTCTGTGGAACCCAGTAGCTGTCAAAACTTTCACATTTTTACGAATAACTCGGAAATCGTAAATTTTTCAGGTAAAACGTTTGACACAAACTTAACTTAAATTTTGACGACAAATCTGAAAATGAATGAAAAAAGGGGCGGTTCCATTTAAAAAACCAAAGTTGGTAACTACCACACGTTTATGATACACCCCGTATATTGGAAAGTAATTTTAAAATGTGGACCTTTTAAACATGAAAAATTCTTGTGGGACGTATTTTCTTGTAAAGTTCATATTTACTGAGATATCGCACTTTGACGCACTAATGAGCAACCCTGTATATGAGTGGCATCAACAAGAAAATAGCAGGAAAACGGTAGCCATGAATATATAAAGTGTTATATTTGCTTAGTTTGTAATAAGCGACAAGCAAATTTCGTTGGAGTGTAGGGGTTGTGTAATAGAGTATTTTAACAGAACGACCGCAACGAGCGTCAAGACGGGAGATGGTTCTAGATAACTGGTCCTCATAGCCCCCAACTCTCACTTATGGCTCCACGTGCCACACCCCGGACAACTGCATTGGTCTGCAGGCTAAACTAAGGTCCGTATTTATAAACGATGCTCAAGCCAAAGTCGAGTCTGAAGCAACGAAACGGCTTCGACTGCGTTTTTTAAACTAATCTCATTCTCAAGCCAGTGCCCACAGCTTTGCTTGCTCAAGTATCGGTCGACGGTGGCTTGAGTATTGCTTCTGCCCAGCTATTGGTCGAGATTTTTCGTTGACCCGTCAAACGGCTTATAAGGTTATATTACTGTTTATGTTATGTTTCTACATTTTAATTTTTTGATTTTACTATTGGATGCAATATAAGAATGGACAAGGTTTTGAATATGTGGGCGTAATAGAGGAGGAAATAAACGAAGACCAACGTGTTAGTAAAACATATATACGAGATGGCAAAAATCATTTTGAGTTTTTGTCGGATGTAGAATTTCGGAAAAGGTTTCGGTTTTCAAAGACCACTATTATTGAGGTGATATTACCTTTTTTAAACGCACCATTATTGAAAGCGGATAATCGTGAACTACTAATATAAAATATTACCCATTACTCAATTGGTGGTATGTTTAAGATTCTATACAAGTCGTTTTCTATTCTCGAGATTCTATGCAACAAATAGCAAAGTTTCTGTGATTCAATGTCTACTTTCTTAGATAAAGTGTACATTATATTTTAGCGTGTGTCCGGTGATCTTTGTTATATGTCAGTCTTAGTAGCAGTCAAATACATATTTACATAATAACAGAAAATGAAAAAACAAAACACAACTATTAGGATTGAGGGAAGTAAGATGGCCCGGTACAGAAAAAATAGGTGTTGATGACCACATTATCTACTTCTCGCGAGGAAAAGACAGCTGCAGTCAACAATATAGCATCGCAGTTATCATGTCATACACAAGAACATTGATAATGCAATAGAAAGCTTTACTCCCTGCTCCGAAAGAATGACGCTAATGGAATTTAAATCTAAAAACACGCTACTCAACCTCTTTATAAATATTAAACATTTTTTTTTGTGAAAATGGACCTGTTGGGTGAACTAACAGACAATGAAGATGTTCGGGAGCTCCTAGAAACATTTTTAAATACAAGATCACCAGCATATAGGAAGCTACCAAATCATTTCCTGCAATGAAACTATCGCAATTTTAAATTTACATTTAGATTATCGAAAGAAGTTACGAAGATCGTGGTAGAGAAAATAAAAAAATATGTTTTATTATGGATTACCGTTTTTTTTACACTCGATATGTGCTTTATACTTTTTGACTAAAGCTAGCAAAATATTTTCTTCTTTCGACGTAAAATTCGTAAACCGGGCAGATTTCGTAATGGCTTCCATAATTGAAATGTTTCACTGAATCTACTGAACTAAAGAAAAATGTGTTTTAATACTTATCCGCTTCAATCAATTCAGTACCAGACCATGTGGATGTGGTTCAGTTCAAATATGCTGGAAAACCGAATATACCACATTTTACCGACATTGCTAACCCTAGGAAAAAATTGAATAGCCGAGTCCAACTGAACCGAGCTCGGATCGGCGTGGGACAACCCGTAAAAATTGAACTCCGGTTCACCGGTAACTGACGGTTCAGTTGAACCATCGTTGAACTTGCTTTTGTGCAATCGGGCCTAATTCAAAAATTGGCAAAGAAAAGGTAACCAGCATCACTGGGGAATACGGACTGGGCACGTGCAGTGACAGAGGCGACCGCGTAATACAATTTTGTCAAGAAGAAGAATATGTGATATCAAACACCAGGTTCAAACTACCTCCTAGACCAATCTATACTTGGAACTCACCTCAAGACAACAAACAAAATATTGTTAGGAATCAAATCGACTTTGTTGTGATTAATCGCAGATTCAAATCAAGTATTCAAAGTGCAAGACACAAGCTAAAAACAATAAGCCGAATGAAACCAAAAAAGCGCAATATTGAAGCACTTAGAAATAAAGCTTTAGAACTTACAAATAAAGCGAAGTGGATACATGAAATGTGTAAATAAATAGAAGATCTAGACAGAGAAACGACACATTCAACCTCCATAAAAAATTAAAAGAAGTTTCCTATAATAATAAAAAACAACAGATATTCATCCTGATACTGACTGATGACAAAGGAAGAATAATTACAGAAAAAAGCCAACAGATGCAAATCTGGGAGGAATTCATAGAAAAATCCTTCGCGGGTAACAGACCTGAATTACAACAGACGCCGACGCGACGTGGGAAGTGGAAGGACCGCTAATCCTAGACAAGTTAAACAAGCGCTACAGTATGCAAAGAATAGGAAAGCTTGCGGTCCAGATGAAATAGAAAAAGATGTATTAAAACTACTATACGATAATAACATAAAACTACTAACACACTTTTTCAATAACATCTATGAAAGTGGCGTAATACCAAAGGAATGGCTTCAATCAGAATTCATAGCTATACCTAAGAAAGCTAACTCCCAAAAATGCGACAAAATCAAGCTCATTAGCTTGATGAGTCACTTCCTAAAAATATTCTTGAAGGTCATACAGAATCGTATCTACAGAAAATGTGAACTAGACATAAGTGACTCTCAATTTGGATTTAGAAAGGCCTTATGGACCAGAGAGGCTCTCTTTACAACTCAAACCCTAATTTAGAAATGCCTCTATCACCAGAAAATAATGCATCTAGGCTTCATTGATTATCAAAAGGCTTTTGATAGGGTGTAAGATGGAAAATTTGAATTTTTGAATGAATTGCAGAAGAAGTTAAACGGAAAAGATCTCCGCATAATTCAAAATCTTTATTGGGACCAAGAGGCCACCTTAAAATATTCCCGCAATACCACTAAAGGCGTCCACATTCAAAGAGGTGTCCGACAGGGCTGCGTCATATACTCATATAGTCTGTATCTAACACATCATATCACATATACTATATATTATACTCCGGATGTAGAAATAAAAACAAGAATAGAACAAGCCAGGAACATGTACAACAAATGGAAGCAAATTATCTGTAATAGTAAACTAGGCTTATACATTCGACTCAGATTTATTAAATCCTACGTTTGGTCTGTCCTTCTATATGTAGTTGAAGTGTGGACACTAAAATTGAATACCATGAGACTAGGG